TCTCAGCTCTCCTCAGGTGCTAATTTTTGCTTACAACATTTCGTAAGATAGATAACCTATACAATTTTCTATACCAGAAGGCGTTTTATAATTAAAAAGTTAGAATTCAATTTTAATTTGCTGTTTCTGACTGACAGTCACATCCATATGTGCAATAGATGTTTGATAAACAAGCTATTAAATAATTATTTTATAACTTTGAAAAGAGCTGTAATATAAAACAGAGTACAAAAATGTTGAGACATTTTAACAAAAAAAGTCAAAATAATATGATGGCCACATTAGTAAATTTGTATTTGAAAAGAAAACCTTTCTTAGTACGTAATAATTCTTTCCATTACCATTGACAGAATTAAAATTTAAGCTCTAATAAATAAAATAAATCTACATTTAAATTTATATTAAATTCATATGAGATGTAAATTGCATTTTCTATTAAAATATGAACAAACATTTTTTTTGTTGTCCAATTCCATATTGTTAATTTTCTCAGGAACTTTCTTCCTGTCATGTCTCTTTTTTTTTTTTTGTCGTGTCTCTTTTTCATCCCTCTTACCAGTGGCTCAGAGTTGTGACATTTGGTATTTTATATACCATACAGAGAATGTTTCTTTTCTTTTCTTTTTTTTTGATGGTCATGGGGCTTGAACTCAAGGCCTGGGTACTGTCCCTGAGCTAGCATTCTATCACTTTGAGCCATAGTGCTACTTCTGGTTTTCAGATGGTTAATAAAGAGTCTCATGGACTTTCCTGTCTGGATTGGTTTCAAATGGTGATGCTCAGATATCAGCCTCCTGAGTAGATAGGATTACAGGTGTGAACCACTTGTGTACCACTGAGAATGTTTTCTTGATAACATACAGTTGAGTAATTTTTGTTCTAAAGCTAAATTATTTGATGTAGTACTTTTCTAAGTTATATAGCAGAGTTTTGTTTGTTTTTGTTTTGTTTTGTTTACAGTACCAGGATTTTAACTCAGGGCCTCCCACTTGCTCAGCTGATGCTCCATAATTTCAGCCATGACTCCTGCCTCACTTCATTTTGCTGGTCATTTGGGAGATGGACTCCGGAAAACTTTCCTATCCAGAACGGCTTTGAACCACAATCTTCTGGATCCTCCCGAGTGGCTAGGATTACAGATGTAAGCGACCAGTGTTCAGTTTATATAGCAATTTCCACATAACTGATTCCATACTTGTAACAGCCTCTTGCAGCCCAGCTCCCAATATAAATAATGCTCAAATTGTTCAGGGAGTTTAACCAAGATCACAAAACCAGGACTCAAAACTCATTTTCTTAGGTCCTTAATTGAATGTCATTTAATATACTTGGAATAGTGATCAAATTTTCTTTCACTGCAAATTTTGTTGATATAAAGACTTGGTGAGCTGTGGCCTTAGCTTAGTAGTACAACACTTGTCTAGCATGTGCAGCATCCACTGAAAAAGTGTGTTAAATCATTGGAACTATACTTTTTTCTGTATTTTGTTTTGTTTTTGGGTCCGGTCGTGGGGCCTGAACTCTGGGCCTGGGCGTTGTCCCTCAGCTCTTCAGCTCAAGGCTAGCACTCTACCACTTGAGCCATAGTGCCACTTTGGGCTTTTTTCTGTTTGCTTATGTGGTGCTGAGGAATCGAACTCAGGGCCTCAGGCATGCAAGGCAAGCGCTCTACCACTGAGCCACCTTCCCAGCCTCTTCTGTTTTTTTTTTTTTTAATTTTGAATTGTCAAGTATCTAAAGAGAGAGTAGTAATAGCTACTAATAATACAATAACTAAATTTTTTATTCCTCGTAAGGTAAATTCTTGTGAAGTATAGTCTCCACAGTTTCCTGTATTTTTAGACAGTTCATTCCTTGCTAATTTTTTTATTAGTGTGGTTTTATAAGCCTGTGTGTGTACGTGTATATGTATCTCTGGCCCACTCTTTTTCCCTTCCCCTACACCACCCTCGGCAAATTCATGGATCCTTTATGTGTACCCCTGAGCATTTGAAAAATCACAGGTGATCTAATTCCATCACCTCTTGTTAAAGGATGACCTATTAGTGCAGACACTAGCGTCTTTTCTCTAGGCATGAACTCACTGAACCTTTTTATAAACATTTTCTTACGTTTCTTACATTCTTACATTTAGACATAGACTCTCTCCCTCCAAAGTGTAAATGAGACCAATGAGAAAAATATTAGAGTACTTCTCAGGCTAAAAAAGATTTTTTAACTCTCTCTTTTTTTCCATTCAATTTTTTATTGTAAAAGTGTTGTACAGAGGGGTTACAGTTACATAAGTCAGGTAATGAGTACGTTTGTTTTTGAACAGTGTCATCTCTTCTCTCATTTTCTCCTATTTTTGGCTCCAGATCCCCTCCCTCACAAGTTGGATAGTTCATGTTTTTCTTTTTTTGTGATATTTGTTTTTTTTTATTTTATTTTATTGTAAGGATGCTGTACAGAGGGGTTACAGTGACATGAGTAAGGCAATGAGTACACTACTTACAGATTATTGTTACCCCTTCATTTGTTGTTGTTCTACTATCCTTTCCCTCCTCCACCTCCCATACTCCTCCCCAACTCCCCTGCACCACCTGCTGTAGTTGTAAAGTTCATTTCCAATATACTGTCCTGTGGGTATCAGTGTTGCAATGGGTCCTGTGTTCTTGTTTCATTGTTTTGGTATTCCCCTTCCTCTCCCCAGATTAGACAAATGTTTATATAAGATGCAGGGTACCAATAAAAAGTAGTGACAACTGGGGATATACCATAAGGGGAAGAACATACAAAGGAAACAAACAAAAAAGAAATTACATAGTACATTTAAAACAATAACAATAAAGACAGACCTCTTGTGTCCATATCTAGGGGTTCATTTCACTTAGCAACATCTTATATGGATATATGTACATAGCTTTTGAGCTTTTCAACTCATCTGATAAGATTGTCCTATATGTATAATAATTATTCAGACCACAGCACCACTTTTAGTTTTTGAGTAGTTAATTAGAGATAAGAGCCTCATAGGTACTTTTCTGCCCAAGCTGGCTTCAAACCACGATCCTCAGATTTCAGCCTCTTGAGTAGCTGGATTACAGGGCCTAAGCCATTGGCATCCAGCTTCAAAATGTTGTTTTTAAGAAGAGAAGTTGCAGCCAGATGCTGATGGCTCATGGGAGCTTGTTTCATTGTGGGAACACGAGTTTCACTGAATTGTATACACCTCATTGTTTTCTCACAGGAATGTTTTCTCAATCTGATAATATACACTTTAAATTTAGTCACAAAGCAAGACAGTGGCAGAACCTGATTAATTCCCAGGCTTGAAAAATGGTAGCACAAGAGTAATCTTACTAATTGCCAGTCTGTGACTGATCAAATAAATTTACTAGCAGTCAATTACTAGTCTAAAGGCTATTGACCCATTACAGGTTTATCAGAAGAAACGAAAAGTGGCCACAAGTAAATGTCAATGACAGAAATTTACCTGCTGATAACCCCCCCTCAATTTTATTATCTGATCATAATAGTTATTATGGCAGGAATAATCCACCAGTGGAAGACAACCATAACAATATATACACATGCCACTTCATTCTGATTGTACAGCCATTACAATTGCAACCACAAAAACCAACATAAAAAGCAGGGATTCTAAATGAATTAAGGAATTGTACCCACTGGCTGGGCTCCATGTTGCTCACACGTGGGTGGCCTCAGTAGGCATGAAAACCTCCATTTTGGCAATGTTTTCAAGTGTGTTTACAGAAAAAGATTTAGAAAAGATAATAGGTGTCATCTTGCTAATATCATATGACACATTATGTTGTTTAACAATTAAATTAGTGAAATGCCAAAGCATTCTGAATTTCATTAAAATTCCACTGGCAATTTCTGAATCATATAAGCACACCAGAGACAGTGCAATGTATAAATTTAGTAGAATAAAATAATGCACGGACTGATCCCCAGATCTCTCAGATGTGTGTGTGTGTGTGTGTGTGTGTGTGTGTATGCGTGTGTGTGTGTGTGTATGCATGTGTAGTTCACTTCCAAATCATGCATAAGCTATTTGTTGGAATATTTCTTTGTATATAAAGCATGATCGTTTTTGCTTCTTGTATGATATTGTTGTTGCTATTATTATTATTATTATATTGTGCCAGTCTTAGGGCTTGAACTTGGAGCCTGAGCACTGTCCCTAAGCTTCTCTTTGCTCAAGGCTAGATCTCTACCATTTGAGCCATTGCTCCACTTCTGGCTTTTTTGGTAATTTATTTGGAGATAAAATCTTACAGACTTTCCTGCCCAGGCTGGCGTCAAGCCATGACCCTCAGATCTCAGCCTCCTGAACAGCTAGGATTACAGGTGTGAGCCATTAGCATCTGTCTGCTATGATTACTTAAAGATGAATTATATCTGTTTCAATTCCTTGGAGTACAGTTTTATTTTTAAGCTTCAGCCAAAAGAACAATACATCTCATTTTAGTGACAGAGAATCTATGTGTGTCATGCAATATGTGAAAATCCAAAATCATTAAATATTTTCAAGGAATATGGTTCCATATGCAATTTTCTGAGAAAGCGAGTTTGCAATGATTTTTCTGTGTGTATGTGGAAGGTGATCCCTTTCTCATGATTTAAAAATTAAATCAGAAACAAAGGGAAACAGAAGTTGATTTGGACAACAACAACAACAACAAAATGTGACTACATGCTATTTCTGATAGGGGTCGAAAATACTAGAAGAGCACTAGTATATTTAACCGACAAATTAGCAAAAATATACCACATAGAGGAGGTAATGACACCCTCACATAGCTCCCTTCCTTGGTACACTTTTGACAAATGACTGGTCCTTAAACCCTCACAGTAGTCCTCATGGGATGGAGAATGGGGAGGTAGAGGCAGAAGGGCTAGTTGAGGCAAGGGTTGTGCCCACATTGACCGGGGATCTGGCTGCTCAGGGTTCAGAGTGCCCAAATCAGTACCTACAGCAGATGTCAGCTCACCTCAAGATCTCAGACCTGTCCAGCATGTCACCATCAGGAATTTTTGAATTTCCAGATCTATAGATTAGAAAGCTACCAGTGTCTCTGAAAGCTCTCTTGATGCTCACTAAACTAATGCTGTAGCTGTAAAATAACATTTTTACAGAATAACAAAGAAAACAACCCAAATTCCACAGCTTGACTATCCAACACAACACAGCAAAACATTGCTCCTGCCAAGGCCAAACCACACCCAGAAACTTCACAAAATATAAAGTGTTTTTCAAAAATTCCTCCACCCTCCCTACCGTTAGTATCATAGCAACAAGCCAACCACTACTAATATTCAATTAATATTCTGAAGAAGTGTATCCAAGCACTCTAAATTTTGTTCTGTGCTTTAATTAAAATTCTCAGAGGTCCACAGTGAGATTGTTTCCTCTCTAGCTTGCTTCCTCTCGAGTTCTGCTTTCTGCCAATTTGTATGGAGAGCTCACTGTGTCACAGTTACCATCTGTTTAAATAACCCACATCTCAGAGGTGTACGCAAGTGCACATGTCCCAACGAACCTTTCAGTTTGGAGATCTAGGTCAGTCCTTCTAGAATTTTAACAGAACATTTGGTTTTTCCTATAGAAATAACTGTAATTAGAACTAGAGAGTGTTCATTTTCTAACCAAGGCTTTGATCATCTTTACATGTTTATTTATCAGAAGGTAAGAGGACAGAAGGGTGGAAACTTAAGTATTTTTAAAAAAAAAACATGGAAAAATCATGTAAAGCCTTACTAATAACTAGGTTATATAACTGGAAGATTTACTTTGAGTCTCAAAATAAAAAGCGAAAGGATTTGAACTATTGCTTTTATGTCCTGCTTTTCAAAATACAGTAATATTTGTCCAGAACCTTGATAATGCTTCTTTAAATCAAGCCTGTAATTCGCTAGAGTTGATTTTTAAGACTAAGACATTATTGCTACCACCTGATAAATTATTACCTGTGACTTGTACCCAAAGAATCATTTAAAGGCTTGTTCTGTTTCAAATGGACACTCTTACCGTGATGCATGAGGAAATTTTTAGCCATTAACACACCACAGACAAATATATGAAAACACACATTTTGGAAGACAGGCTGGTGTTTCTTAAAAAGACTACTTTTGCTCATACACACATTAAATTGACAGCTCTGCTTTAATACTTTCTGACTTCAGTACTGCTCTGAATCTTTACTGTATACTTCATTCAATTCATCCACCAACTGAAAGCTAATCAGGAATGGCTATATCCTTCATTAAGTTTAGTTATTTCTAATTATATTAAAAATGCTAATAGGATTTAATGGCTGTTTAAAGAAATACCAGAATTCTGACACAAAGGACCAAGGTTAACTATCACACACCCTGCCCATACTGCATTAAGTCTTTTACAGAATACCTGCAAAATTCACATGTTCACATAACACCCACATGCACTCATATAACATATACACCTGGGTAGATGGACAAGAAAAACATAACATTCTGAGTATCACAGTTCAGATATAAAAAATAAAATTCTTAGTAGGATAAACAATGAATTAGTAATGGGAGTCAGGACTTTTGAACCAATTATCTTTTGGTACAAAGTAGAATAGTTGTGTCCTGTAGCGGTTTGCTCTCAATCATATGAAGGAAACAGATCACTTTCCAGGAGAATTGTATTCCCCTTCTGCCTGTGGCACATCTGTGCACGGTTTGTGCATCCTTGAGTATGTAGCAGCTGGCTTTATCATAAATGGATTTGATGGCTCAAGGCTGGAGCTGATTGGCAGACAGCTAAGACCTGCAGAAGTGGTCCTAGTGTTGCTATGGTGACTGAGCTCATTCTTCCAAGTGGCTCAGTCAGGATTTCTCATAATGAGCTACATTTGCTGGGCTCCTAACCCAGGTACCTACAAGTCCAACCTGGCTTCTTTTCTTTTCCCTAGTAGTATCTGTTATTTTATCCTGAGTTCTGATCAATATACACAATGTATGACTGTGAGTATCTGTTTCAGGCAAAGGGAATTTAAAGTACTTACATTCGTTTCAAATAGGTGACACAAGTTCACTTATCTGAGCAGAACCTTTGCTGTTAAAACCCAAGGGGTGCCAGTGATCTCCAGAGCCCATTTATCAGAACTCCCTCAGAGTTGTCCCAAAGTTGTGCTGGTGTACCCTATTGCCACTGAGTTGGTACTACAAAGAATTTAGGGCCACTTACTAAACAGTGCCTTTCAGGGCCTGGACACTGTTGTTCCTAAGCCTCTTTGTGGTCAAGACTAGCACTCTACCACTTGAGCCACAGTGCCACTTACCCACTCTTACTTCTTTGCCATATATCCACTCTTATTTCTTTAGAAAAGAGAAAAAATGGAGTAGGTTTTCATGATTAAAAAAGAAGACAGTTGGGCTGGGAAGGTGGCTCAGTGGTAGAGCGCTTGCCTTGCATGCCAGAGGCCCTGGGTTCGATTCCTCAGCACCACATAAGCAAAAAGAAAAAAGCCGGAAGTGGCGCTGTGGCTCAAGTGGTAGAGCGCTAGCCTTGAGCTGAAGAGCTGAGGGACAGTGCCCAGGCGCAGAGTTCAGGCCCCATGACCGGACCCAAAAAAAAAAAAAAGACAGTTTACAAGGCTTAGAAGTTTTTCTATGAAATCAACAATGATGAACTCTCCAGAGTCACTGTAACAAACCTAAAAGACCATAATGGACTATATGTTCCTCAAAGTCCAGCATTTTTTCTCATCTAGTGCCCAGGAACTTGATGCATTTCATAGATTTTTATGTTTAGCTCTCCTAACTGTTCAGTTGCAGGAACTGACCAGGAGCTCAATTTATAATAGTACACTGTAGTTCAACTTGCAAGTGGTACACTTATAGTTCAGAGTTGCAAACACATTTTTTTACATTTCTCATTAAGCTAAAGGTTTTCATAACTGCAAATGGCCTTTTCCAAATTATTCTCAACTTTTCAAGCTGCTATAAAAAATGAAGCCCATTTCTCTTCATTTCATATTGAAACTCATTATTACATAAATCTATTAAATGCAACCATGAGGTGGATTTCAGTCAGTGTCTAACACTTGGAATGGAAGGAGTCAGAAATGGCTCTACAGTAACCAGATTCAGAAGGCAAACATGAGACTCATTCCTGCAGAAATAAGTCAAAAGGCAATCAGATGAGCTGAAAAGCTCAAAAGCTATGTACATATGACCATATAACATGATGCTAAGTGAAATGAACCTCAAGATATGGACCAAGATATGTCTTTGTTGTTGTTTTAAGTGTACTATGTGATTTTTTTGTTTCCTTTGTATGTTCTTCCCCCTATGGCATAGCCCTGTTGTTGCTGTAACTTGATTTTGGTACAGTGCATCTTGTATATACATTTGTCTAATCTGGGGAGGGAAGGGGAATAACAAAACGGTGAAACAAGGATACAGGATGACCCATTGCAACAATGATACCCACAAGACACTATATTGGAAACAAACTTTACAACTTCAGGTGGGGGTTGGAGTGGGGAGGAGTGTGGGAGGTGAGGGAGGGAAAGGATAGTGGGACAACAACAAGGAAGGGAAGGAATAAAAAGGATCTACAAATAATGTACTCATTGCCTTACTCATGTAACTGTACATCATCTTTAAAATAATATACTCTTTAAAAAAAAAAAAAAAAGGAAAGCCCTTTCCATTTAGGAACACTGTAATCTTAGTTTAACTGGAAATAAAGCATTCGTTTTAAAACATAAAAGACCAGAATAAGTTGATTTCTTAACTTCTAAAATGGCAATTTCACTACTTATTAGCTTCTCCTACTCCAAGTGAAACTCATCCCAAAATAATTAAATAATTATTGTCTTTCGCTGAGAAATAATCAAACATTGCCTCTGGCCATAGTTACATTTAAAGATTTCTCCAGGTTCACAAGGTTTGTTTTTTTTAATCTGTATGTAAATTTATCCTTTTGACACATTCTACATTTTCACCACTAAGAAGCACTGTGCAACCATTTGGTATTCTAAGAATCAAAAAACAGGTAGCAACAAAGTAAAAAAAAAAAAAAGTAGTGCTACATTAAAATGTATGACTGAATTTCATAACCAGAGCCTAAAAATTCACACGTTGGGTGGAAAAGTGGGAGAAAATGAGGGAGGGGATAACACTGTTCAACAAGAAATGTACTCATTACCTTACTTATGTAACTATAACCCCTCTGTACATCAGCTTGACAATTAAATTAAATTTAAAAATGTACATGTTGCTATTGTTTTGTATAAGCAATCATTTTATTATCATGAATGAGTTGTTTACAAGGGATTCATTTTGCCATTGTCACATAGCATACAATACAGGTCCTCCCATCCCATCATTCTTTCTTAAATCCCTTCCCTCTTCCCAAAACAACAGACTTCATTTCTCCATTTCCACTTACAGATACCAAAGAATTCTGAGCATATTTACCCTCCTTCACCCTCTCCATTTACCCTCAGCCCTATCGCCAGTACCCACACCCCAGACAAGACCTGTTCACAATCTGTCAAAGACTTCTTTGACATGTATATCAACTGATCAAAGGTATAATTACATACTTGTGTTTAGTGTACTTTAACCTGATTGAACTCTTGCTTATTCTCACTTTGCCCATCCCCAGAAACTCTATTATTCAACAGCTTCCAGTAAATTCCATTAACTATATGCAGCTGCAATGTATTCCCATGTGGTTTACCCTTTTTCTTTCCCTTCACTAATCCCCTCAAATAGTCCTATAATTACCAACATGCACATGATTCTGCTTGAATATACATACATGTTGATCTTTTAGGTTTAGCTTGCACATCTGAGTTTGTTTTAAACTCTAAAAAAAGTATTCATGGCAAGGTAATATTGACTATCTTCATTCATCCTGAGCTGTAGAAATCTATATCCCCTTCCAAAACTGAAGTACCTGGAGTTTTACTATGGGAAACTCTGAGAGAAGGAGAGAAAAGGAAATCAAAATGGCTTATGTCTGTTGAAATTGCAACAAGCAATTGGCTAAATTTAACATTATTTTTAATCCCAGAAGATCAGTTGCTTAAACTCACTGCAATGCACTGTGCTCCCAATGCTTTATGACATCGTA